AGGGGGTGGGGGCATTAACCGGGGACATAGGAAGGTTTGAGTGAGGTAGGGTAGAATGAGAGTGATTGGAGTGAGACACTACCACGGGCCGACGATGAGGTGGAACGCCACGAAAAAACTTGCCCTTTCCACACTCGTCCTGTCTTCGTCCTCATCGAGGCCCTCATAAGGGTAATTCCAGAATACCATCGTCGATCGACCGCGACTTCGGGGTAATGACGGGTTTACCCCGTTGCGGAGATACGTCACCTCGAATTTGCGGATTAGGTAAAATTGTACGTAGGATTATCCGGATTTTTAGCGAACCTAGCTAGCTCTCTGTGCTAATTACCAACCATTTTCAATCTGGGAACATTACTGCATCGCGGATTGAAGATATTGTCAAGACTATTCTGTACTGTTGGAATAGTACACTTGAAAAACTTGAAACTTTTAACAACGACAAAGTAGTGTTGAGTTTCTTTTTAGAATTCTTCAATTAATTTTTCCAATATTCTGGTAATTCTCAATTTTCAAGCCCGTACGGCATTAAATAATGGTGGAGACGAAAATTCAAAGGGTAAATCTCGGGAGAGTTTTTAATTCATTCAACATTCAGTTGTATTTGAAATTCAACCGTTCATTTAAAAATCAATTACTATCAACATGATCAAACCAATTTCCATGGAATTTCAAGATAAATTAAAAATTTTGTGATCCTTTTTAATTGACATCGAATTCAAATTAACATAATTGAGAATTCAGATGATTTTGTGATTGAAATTTTAGGACATGTTAACAGTAAATGAAAATTTGAATGTAGTTCTTGGTATCTTATCGTAAATTTACAAATTTCTATATCCTATAATAGAATGATTGACTTATAAAAGTTCGAATGAAAATCTTTCAATACAAATAAAGATAAATTCAGCCGATTAGTCGAGATTTTACCTTTGAATCCGTATGTCAAAAATGACAGTAATGTAACATCCCTCGTGATTCAGACCAGAAAGGGAGTGAGTGAGATGATTTATTGAGTGGTTTACGACGGTTGCATTTTAATTTTTGGCAATGATGGTGATGATTATTTGGGGTTCACGCGGGAAATGAACAGATGGGGTAGTTGTATTGAATATGCCTGTGGGAGTCGGGACATTACGCATCGTGGGGTAATGGGATTAAACTTTTTCCGTCTGGTCATTTACGATTCAATGTTATAAACATTGGGATTATCCTTCCTGGACTGTTCTCGAGGCTTATCATATTCCCCGCTGCCTCGAGAAGACAGAACACGTATTTATTCCTCACAATTACATCATTGGAACGAATCGGCTAAAGTCCTACTCTCAAATGAATGTCTCATTTCCTCCGAAGTAATGAAATTCATTGGTAAATGGCAACCAATTGTTGAAATAGTTATCGGGATGGCAATAATTTGCAATAATTCAAAATTAGTGACAGATTGAAAAAGCAAATGATTTTTGGCTGTGACTAATCCACGAGGCTATAGGTATCCCCTGTAAAATAAAAGCAAATAATTTCCATAACTGAAGCCCTTTGAAATTCGAGACTTTTGTGCAGACACTTTAGCCGATGGTTTTTGGGGGATTGACGACCAGCGATTGCACCTTTTTGTTCTATCTTCTTCCCCTTTGAAACAGAAAAGCTTTCGCGCTTTTATCTTCCATCCCCAGCGCTGATAGCAAACCCTATACGTCATGTATACTTTTTTCGGTTATCCCACAACACAAGGTAACACGAGTGAACCTTTTGTCGTACGAGTTTGCCCGGTTTACTTTTTTCACAACGAAGAAAACATTTTAAAAACTCGGCGTGGCCTAAGAACAATGGAAACAAGAGTTGGACATTGTACGCGTGTTTATGCCCCGGTACATGGTCACGACGGTCACGTTCCCCAGGAACAAGTCCTCTTTTCCTCCCAAAAAAATAAAATCCAAATAAAAAATACAAAATGTTTTAACCCTTACCCCCTATCCACTATCGCCTCAACCTGTCATTTCCCTCATTTTTTATCACTATCCCCCATTTCCATCGCAATTCCGTTAGCCATTTGTTTGCCGGGGGGAGGTAAAACCATTGCAATTTGCCCGCAAGCCCTGGCGCCCGTTTAATTTGTTAAAAAGCGCATCCAGTCAACACGACCGCACACCGCATACGAGAAAACCAAGGGGGGAAAAGGGGGTAGACATGAAAGATTGCACTCATCGCGCAACCACTCTGCATTCTGTCCGCATCGCAATGCATACATTCTCATTGTGACTTTATTCTCCTTGTTTTACAACAACTTCATTTATTCATGCCCTCACTTATACAATTTTTTTTTTTCTGTTTTTTGACAGATTGAGAACGTCAGTTTGTGTGTCGGCGCGCTGCGTGCACTTGGTGCGGATGTCGGTGCAGTTAATCCTGGTGAATTATCAACTGGCACTACTCTTCGCCCTGTACTGGCATTACTCTTTGCCCTTTCGCGGCACAAACAGAGAGCCAAACAACTTCAGGACATGCCTAGGTGAGTTTTTACCGTTGTTATACTAACTTACCGACTGACATTACGTTAATGGTCTATTGATCTCGCTGTATTACCGACTGGAGATAAAATCAATAATGGCACTCTTATTGTCGACTGGTCTGAGGCGTAGTTGCGGATGATATAGGGATCTTTAAAAACTATTTTCGTATGGAATCTTGATATTGAAATATTGAATATTGGGGTGGTCTATTGGTAATTGAGAATTTAATCATTTGCGAACATGAATGAAACTAAGTACTTACGTTCAGTCGAATTTCTTTATCTTCCGCGTGCAATCACATTGATTTTTTAGTTTATCCCCTTAATTAATTGTGATATATTTATGGAGTAAAGAGGACTCGCGTCGAGCTGTGCTTAGGGGAGATTTATGGTATCTTTCTCTCGTTTCGCCCACAAATGCTGGGCGTTTTAATGGGCAGGGGGTACCCTTGAGATTGCAAAGCCGTTTCGAGAAATCCTTAAGGAGCATCCACCGGGTTTTTCCCTTTTTCTCATTTTACTTCTTTATATCGCTATCAACTTTACCATCGCTCGAGTGTTTTCTTCCGGTTTTTTGTTTCTTCTGGAGCATGTCTATAGCTTTATTTTTTCCTCTCTGCAGTTACCTCAACATTTTTGCAAAAAGATGTTTGTCGAGAATTTTTTTTCCCTCGGCTCGTTAACCCATGGATCGACCATGTACTCGAATTCAGTGAGTTGTCGGGATTTACATGTTTCGTCAGAAGTTGGAAACAATCCGTGCCCATTATTATTTCAATCCCTCCTTTCCATTTGGATAACGTACACGCGTTAGTCTGTCGCGTTTAATTACAAAACAGCAACACGTCGACGGGGATCAATATCCACGCGGCAACTCATTAAGGCCTCGTTTGCAATCAACGGGCATGACATTACCGCATTTAATCAACGAAAAATGTTGAGGGAAAATCATGAGCGAAACGTAAACGCAAGTGCTTTCAATCTCTGTAATTTCCACTGGGAGATGCAGTGAATCTGTACTCATTTTTCCATGTCCCGGGGGAGCGGATGAAACCGAGGGTTGCAGTTCTTCAATAATCCACTGATTGAGTATTCATCCGAATAAACCCTACGGAGTATTCTCTAATAAAGTTCCTAATATTTTTTTCATTCAACTTTCATCGCTACCTTCGTCAGACTAACCGTCCAATTATGCATTCTCATAAACGAGGTAGAGGGAAAAATAAATTATTCCCCAACTATTGACGGAAACCGTCGATTCATTACATTCAACTCGCCCAAATGTTTCAAAACTCTAATACTTGGTACTAATTTGATACTCCATTATCATTATCAATTACTCAAATTACTCCAATGCAATGGGAAAATATCGTCTCAAATTACGACGCTATTGTGTCTCTTCTGAATACATATCCCAAATATTAAAAAAGAGGGGGTAAAAGTCACAGTTAACGACACAATTTTTATCCCTGAATCATCAAAGTGGCCATCAGCCTCCAAAGCTCCTGAAGAAGATTGATCCCCGCAGTGGCAGAGGGAAACCTGTTCTCCACAAAAGTCATCTCGGATTCACCTCGACAAGAGAAATAAAAAATGGAGATACCACGCCAGGCTCTTGACATTAACATATTAACAATGCTCCATTATGTAGAGAAATCAGTACATACATAGTTGGACGGTCACCCGCACAATGTCATCCCCAAATACTCTCCACACGTATTGCCATGACAAGTAAGCAAGAGCATTGCACAAATATGTGTGGAGCGATGGTTCACCGAGGAAGGGGTATCCTCTGGGTTGGTGGGCATTAGCATGAGAATACCCCGGAGAAAAAAAAAGATCCTGCGGCTTGGCTGTTCTGGGATTGGTTGGATTCACGGGAAAGTCCAGGCGGGCCATTGGCGCGAATGAGGGAAGCGACGCAACACCGGGTAACATGGGGGAACACGGTGAACATTGGGAACCTGAGGGGTGACAAGGGGAAAGACGAGGGGTAAATGCCAAATGAGGGAGGCTGTGTTCTGTACCGGGTGAGACGGAGTGAGAGGGAGTGGAGCTTAAAAAAGGAGAGACTCGGAGCACCAGAGGCTGATGGAAGTGAGAGGAAGGGAGTTTGAACGGGTGGTGGTGAACGAGGGGGAAACAGAGAAAGCCACGTGCTATGGGAACGGTAATGGGGAATACGACTCGGTTGCTATACTCAGGCCTCAGTTTGTTGCGGGCCATCGAGATGCCTAAACCCATGGCCCACGCCATGGACATTCCTCTTCAAATTAAAACGTGCACCTAGTGACAGAATTACCCGACGTTCACTCAACGTTTTCACGTCTTCTGTTATTCTTTCGTTAATTAATTAGACGTCATGTGTTTTGCGGATAAATGTGCATGGACATCCAGAATTTATTGGTGAATTTTGCCGGCGAGCGCGGGTCGATGGTACATTCAGAAAACAAAAATCAGCTTCTCACAAAGAAGGTTTACTTACACTCTGGAAAAACATTATTTTATCAAGTATATTTACTCATTGCTGGACAATTCACTTGCATTAGTTTAGCTTAGTGAAGTATTTTGTACAGATTTACTGGTGGAGAGTAAATATATTTGGTAAGAGATATGGTTTTTCTCAGTGCAATTCGAGAGGATAGTCACGGTTTTTTATTGACGAGTGATCATTTTTTGGATTGAGTCAATGTTCTTTGCTGAAAGCTGTTATTTTTGCGAGTACAGATGGCAAACCCGGGGGATAATGGAATTGTGGGTTCAATGGAGACTGTATCGAGTGTGTAATTTGGTCGATTTTGGATTGTCGAGGGAATATCCAGAGAGGTTCGCGAGAACGGTCGATTATTTGTGGTTCGGTTTGTCGGAGTTTTTTTTGAGTAAAAAGGGAGATTTTGGAGGGTGAGGCTTGGTTGAAAATTATTTCGAGTTGATTTGAAACTGGGAAACAATGGGCAATAGCGGAAGCGGCAATGCCAGCCGTAAAACACGGAGTTTGCCGAATTCACCGGAGGTCCACAGGTATTTCAATTTTCTCGTTTGCTATTTGCACTGTTGAAAATTTTCCATTGAAATTTTCGGGAAGAGTCTGGAAATTTTTAATAAGTGACATTTGCCCTGAAATTTTGGCAATTTCCTATTTCGCTGATCCATGAATATCTCTTATTGTCATTATCCTATGGAAATAGCAAATTTCAGTTTTAATATTCAGCGAAAATTATTATTCAGTTGATTGAAGACAATTTATTCAGGTGTTCATATTATTACTTCGGCTTTATTATCGATTAATCATCTATTGAGACGGCGCGAATTTAATGAATGGACGTTGGAAGGCTAGCGAATTTTCGAATGCTAATTGTTTCTCTAATTGTTCGTTGGTAGGGAGTAATTAGTACAGAAGTTTCATTCCTGGATGAATAAAGGAACCGGCAAATTCAATTCTCTCATTTTTTTAAATCAATTTATCGATGGAGTTCAGAGGTAAATAAGTAATGGGATTGGAGTTGCTTGCGATAATTTCGAGTTGCTAGTACTTTAGACGTTTGGAAAACACCTATAATCATCCATTGGCCGATTGCACGTTGAGAGATAAGGCGTAGCGAGGTGAGGAAGGGGGAGATCATCTAAATGGAGAGTAAGTGGAAAAAATGAAAAACCAGATGCTGCAGCCCCTGTATGGATATATAGCCCCCCAGAGGCGTTTTAGTGCGAAGAAGACCGGTTGGAATCCCCGCTCAACACCTTTTTCACATCAATGGCCCTCGCTATTTCTCCATCATTATGGTCCACTCCACTCTTTAAAATTTCTTGCACTTCCAATTGCAGCTTCGAATTCCCAATTGATTCAAAAATTTTGAGAGTCTTGAACTCCTATCACGTAATTCACCAATTGTCACAGCGAAATATAATTGTGATATGGTAATTTTTCATTGAAAATTCCGATGAAAGTTCCGTAATGTTTTACTCATTACGGTGCAGGAATTGGTTTTGGGACGGACAGAGTTAATGGAGTTAATGGAAAATTGATGGTTTACTATTTTACGAATTCAATTGTGCCTTTTGGACTCGATTTTATCCGGAACATTTCGAATTATGGGAAAACTGCGGAATTATAGTGAACGTTTATCGCTGCGATTTGTGCGTGTTAATTGTCATAGAAAATGATTAGAGTGATTAGAGTTTCATTTCACATTTGAGGGGTTAACTACTGCTCTCTTAGAAATTTTTTCCACTCCCAATTTGATCTCCGAATTGATAATTCATCGAAAAATTCTGAAAATCTTGTATTCACAACTCGTTATTCGTTCACCTAATTTGGTACCGAAATTTGACGTGCGATCTCGTAATTTTTCATTGAAAATTCCGATGAAAGTTGAGAAAAATTTTCCTCAATTACATTCGGCCCCAGCACTACTCTGGATTATAAAAAAATAACGTAATTACCCTGAACATTCCTCGGCATGTAATTCGAGTAATTCGAGTTTCATTCCACATTCAAGGGGTCAACTAATTATTGATTAAGAAAATACAGAGAAATAAATTAATTTTTCTGTAAGGTTATCGTCCTTGAAAATTTCCAGTTCTCTCGGCGAGATTTCAAGGAATTTATTGAGAGAGTTCCACTGCAGGGAAGACACTTTTGCGTGTTCAGAGAGAATTTCTCGGGGTTATTTAATTTTGTTTTTTGGAATTTTTAAATGTGAAAAATGGGAGTGATACTTATGGGAATATCCTGACGGAAACGAAGTGGTTACACGCAGGAGGGGGGCTGGAGCTTGTGCAAGTGGGAGGACCGGTCGTCCACGGACAACCGGGTTTCCAATAAAATTCACACCGGGTACATAGGAGTCAGGAGTATATCGCGTGGTGTGGGTACACGCTTGGCTGGACAGTTATGGACGTATGGTTTATGGTGACCAGTGGGTAGGATTATTCCACGTGTGAATTGTTTCTTTGTTCCGATGGTAGCCCTCATTCTGTTATAGGAACCAATTGCTCCA